TGGTATTTGACCTGTTCTTAGCAAGATCTTGCTACATATCAGGAAGCCATAAAGGTGTGTGAAAAATTGCCAGCATCTTTGTCCTTACACCCATTTCTTCCCTTTTTTGGGTCTCGTGATTCATTCTCGTGTTTCACAAAGCTGTGTGCACACATTTTGCACAGCAAACCACAACTTCTCTGGTCATTATGTGAAAGTGCAAGGAAAAACAATTAATGTCCCTCCTCCAACACAAGCAAAAAAATGATGGAAAAAAAAAGGGGGGTAAAGAACCTTCCCTTTCCCAGCCCCTCCCTGCCTTAGGATGCTGATGGCATTTTGGAGGGATGTTGCCCCGTATAAAGGAGGCACAAAAATGCATCTTGCCACTGAAAAAAGCTGAGATAGTAGCTGAGCATTTTAATTAAAAAATAAAAAGCAGATAAAACCTTTTTTTATCATTACTACGGGTCTTTCCTAGAAAGCATTAGGATCACTGTAGAATTATGTATCACTGTAATTGTAATGAGGTAAGCGCCTGTTCCATTCTCCTCAAGATGGCAATGTGCTTTCTGGCCATCTCTTCTGGTGTTCTGTAGACTGAAGTGTTTGACCACTTCTGTTAATATTGGTAAGATATGCAATAACGAAGATAGCCTGGTTTCATGAAGGTCATTTTAATCTTATAAGTGGATCAGATGATGTCAGCTTGCACCATGGGTAAAAGCACACCTTTTGATCCACCTGTGTGGAACTGCAGAGGGGATTAACCCTCTTTCTCCTTTGCCTTTCATAGGAGGGAAATTCTGTGTGCTGTTAGCCACTAAGGGTGGATAAGAACTGTTGTCTTCAGAGTTATTGTCAGAACTGCATCCCTCTTACCAATTGTTTTTTCTAAACAAGCGAGTTCTTGGGGGCCATGTGGAAAGCAACTTGGCATTTTCAGCAGGCATGATCTGCTTTTTGATTCTTTATACTTTGGCACTTTTATGTAGTCTATTTGAGCCAAGCTATTAATTAGCAGCAGTGCACCTTTAATATAATGACTGGGACACACTGGGCAGATTGGATGAAGTTCTTCCATGTTTGAAAGCATATACTAATTGGTTTTTATGAACAATATGCACACGGGTTTGAGTAGATATCAGAGGATTCATGAGAGCATGAGGAGGAATCACTGCAGCTGAATGAAGTAATATTTGCTCAAGAAGCCTGAACTGTAGCTGAACTAATGGCCAGAATTGGGGGATGCCTAAGAGACAGATAGTTTTGCTTCTGATTAAGTAGCATTTGCCATTGCAAAGTACAAAAGGAATATGCACTAATCTGCCTCATTTGAATTGGAATATGAAAGGTAGTGATCAATTCTGTATGACACACAGTTCCTCAGAGGACATTAGGAAGGGGGATGGAATGACCAAGAAGGCCAGAGACACCCATTGGAGTGATGCTACAGTAAAAACTTTCTTATTCTTTTTACTGTTATGTTGTCCTTTACTCTTGTAATGATAAAAATTAAATAAATTGCAGAAATTACAAAATGCCCAACTGCCAAAGTATTATAAATAGAAAGTGTTTCCAAGTGTGCCACTTGTAACATTGCTACAAGAGTTATTTGTTTTTCATTGTAAAAAATGTTGCACAAAGGGAAGACATAAATATTTGACTTTTTTTTTCCTCTTTCCATTTAATCTTTGCTTTGCTTCCTCCTACATCTGTTTTATTCTTGTTGAAGGATGATGTAGGTGCAAGAGGGAAAGGAGGAAAACCCCCAAACCCACAAAACAACAAAACCCCCACCAACGTCGGTCTATACACTTAGCTCTGTGTGTTTAGCTGTAAGACTGCAGAAATGCCTCTCCAGGTAGGAGATGGTACTTAGGGAGAGCGTTATGGTGCTGATGCACGTGGCCCATTTCCTTTCTGTTTTCCCCATCATCGACAACTGTTGGATTAGGAATGTTCAAATCATCTTTTAAAAATTGATCACACATATAGCTGAGATCAGCTCAGTTGGTTAGAGAATGATGCTAACAACACCAAGGTCATGGGTTTGATGCCTGTATGGGCCATTTACCTAAGAGCTGGATTTGATGACTTCCAACTCAGAATATTTTGTGACTCTGTGATAAATGTCTGTATAGTAAGAGCACATGTAGTAATCGTGCTCAATGAAATGAAGTTTGGCATCCTGATGCGAGAGTCCCTCTATAAAAAATGCTTGGAACCACTCAGAATTCAATGGAAGATTAACAAAGAGAAGAGCAATTCATTTGCCCACTCTCAGTTGAAAAATGAAGCACAATTTTTCTGCTTTTCAGGTCAACCTACCTGCTGTGTAAATGTCTTGAAAGCATTTGAAAATAAAACAGTTTGAATAGAGTAAAATAATTTTTTTTAATGCTGTGTTTTAAGCTCAGGTATGTCTGGTTTGAAAAACTTACCTGCATGGTCTTAAGCATGCTTATATATTGAATTTTTGTATGTGGTGTTATTTGGGTAACCCTGCTAAAAGAAGCCAGTGCCCGTTGGTGTGTGCAAATTGGAAGGTTGTGAGTGAACAAAAGTATTAAAACCTTTTTGTTGTTGTTGTTGTTTCAACTGATCAAATAAAAAATTGGCTGATCAAGACATGGACTTAAATGACAAAATAATTTGCATCTGCAGTGCTTAATTTTCAAATTTATTAGCCCAAGCTATTAATCTGTTACTTCTAAATAATAATCTCATTTGTGGACAACCTTATTCATTTGGAAAAAGGAGTGGGAATTCTGAAACTTTCCACTCATTTATTTGTGAATTGGTTAAGCTACATTTTGTGAAAATCTAGTCATATAACTTCTGTTGGTGTCACAGTTTTGTTTTGAAAGTCTTACAGTGGGCATCAAGACAAGGCAAACCAGATAGTTTTCATTGACCCCTGTTTTGTCAGGATAGGGTTGAAAAATGGGAGCTAGACAGCAACTGTGACTTACTCAGCCATGCTGAACACAGAGCTGCTGCATAGAAAGCGTTGCATTGTCAGCTGAATGGTCTTCAGCACACCTGACTTGTTCTCTTGGCTGAGGCCTCCAGAGCTCTAATAAATAGGTGGAAAAGATTGTTTTTTTAAAAAAACATTTGCTGCCTCTCCCCATCCTTCCTCTGCTTTCAGGTGGCATTATAAAAACACACAGGTCCAGGTGAACTCCTTGATTTTCCTACCTGGAAAGTGGCTGTGTGGAATTACAGTAACCGATGCAGTATATTTTTATGTAGACAATAATTTTGCTAGCCACCCAGAGATATAATTTTGTGAATTCTGCTCCAGGATAAATTGTACTCACTGATGTAAATCAAGCATAACTTTCTAGGAGTCTGTTAGAGTTTTGTTTGTCTGGTTCCAAAGAATTTAAGCTTTCTGGCCATGGTCTAGCTGCATTGTGCTGCTGGATTTATATATGTGGTACAATGTGACTTTGGCATATGGATGAGGAACTCCAGAGTTTATGGGTTTCTCCTGTTAAGGACATATTCTCTGTATGCAGTATGTGACACCCCATCCTTTTAATCCAAGAATGATTCTTATTTTTCAGGTCCCTAGAAAAATATTTTTTTCCTCTTGCTTTATGGTAAAATTGACCAGCAGTGGGCTTTATTTGAAAAGATATTAAACTCCTTTTTTTATTAGCATGAACTGCATGATATTTTAAGGAGAATAACAGAATATTAATTTTGTTTTGGTCTCCTTCTGTAGAATTCCTCTAGTACACGTATCCTAACTGAGTGAGACACCACCTTCTTTGCCCATGTTCCTCCTTTGGTGAGAAGCAGTGACAGTAATGTTACTAATTAGGCAGTGTGCATACTGTGGACTATGGGCTATCTGATGTAGTTTTACCAGTGTAGAATGTTGATCTGTAGCAGTGCCTCATTGTCCCTGTCCTGTCTCTTTTACTAAGTTCAATGTGTCTTGGTTTTACTTTCTTGGGTTCCCCTTTTGTCAGTTTGGGCACTGGGTCCAGACCCAGTGTGCAAAAAGTTCTGCTGTCCTCATTCTGCATTTTTCTGATATACCTGGATCAAACCCCACCACTTTAATACTGTACTGAAATGAGGCTAGATGCTTTTAATTTAGCACACACCATTATTCAATTTCACTTACCATTTGACATGAGTGAGGTGTTCCAGTCCTGTAATCTGAACAATTAATTTTTTAAGTAATTGCCTGTCAACTGTGATGGGTGAGCAGCAAAACTGAACAAATATGGGTAGCACTAATGCTGTTTTCCCAGGAGCATTGTTTGCAAGGGCAACTGTGGTATAACCTTTTGAAGAAGAAATGGCTCCTCTTTCCCCTTTGGCTTGTAATTCAGGGGGTGAAGTAAGCACCTCAAAGCTAGGCTTCTTTGACAAAGAACCTTAAAGCAATCAGCCAGGTTGGTGAGTGGTTTTCTCTCTGTGATTATTCTTTTTTTGAAGGGATTGGGTTTGAAGTTATGTGGGGCTTTTTTGTTGTTATTGGGGTATTTGGATTAGTTTTTCTTTTTTTTTTTGAGACTGAAACCAACCTGGTGTTTGATACCAAAGTGTTGAGAGACCAGTCTGTTTAACTTTGAAAAGAATCCCAAGTACCTTGGGGATGTTGTAAATCCAGATTCTTAGAAGAGCAGAATTCTGCTGTAATGACTCCACTCTAGAGATATTTCAGTCATCAGCTTGTTTTCCTATTACTGCAGTGTGTTGTACAATATGATATTTGGAAATTAGTACCACAGCACAAGAGAGATTTCTGCTCGTTTTAAATGCGTGTGACCTCTGGGCTCTGTGGAGGAAGGCACTTGACTGAGTGGAAGTGTTCGTGACCCTGACTCCAGCGAGCTGGGAAGATGTAGGTGTGAGTGTTGATTACAGGTTGTAATACACCCATACAATCTACTGGTCTGTCTCACACCAGGTTGCTTTTGGTGACTTTTCCCATTGAACAAGTACTAAGCTGGTGGGGGTTTGGCTTTAACTGCTGTACCTATCACCATCCCCAGGCAAGGGACCTGAAACTCTTTATGCTGGGCAGAAACTCAATGACAACGAGTGGCACACTGTCCGGGTCGTTCGGCGAGGAAAGAGCCTCAAGCTGATCGTGGATGATGATGTTGCGGAGGGTAAGTGTGATGTGTGACTGTTTTTTGATCATTATCTTTGTATCTCTATTCCCAGTCTTTCCTCTGCCATTATGCCCCTTCTCCCTGTTCTTGTATCTCTTTTTCCCCCCTCTTTCTGTTACTACTTGCGTATTATTTAGTGTTATCATATTGAAAACAAATGCTCAGATCTGAGAGACTAACTTCTTAGCCAGCACCAGAAACTTCTGTGACAGCTATAACAATATGAAATATAAGTTTAGGGGACAGATAAGCTTACATATATACCTGAGACTGCAGAGGTGTTAAGCAGCGCTCTCTCTTGCTTCAGGCTCCATTTGTGTTAGATGTGAGTATACCCCATTCCTGAGCTGCAAAGGTGGTTTCCGGTGCTGTTGGAATCAAAGGCAAGGCTCTCTAGACTTTCCTCTGCACAAACTTGTCCTTTGATAAACCAGTATTCATTACATGTGTTAGAGAGCATGGATTTATGTTTCCACTGTTCATTGTGTGGGTGTGGTTGTTTAGGGGTTTTTTTTTGCAGTTGGAGGGGTTTTTCGTTATTTTTTTTTTTGCCCAACTTCTTGTGCTTATGGTTCAGAGCCTTCCGGAAGAAAAAGCAAACAAAGTAGTTTGTTCTCAACTTTTTTTTAGAGGTTAGGGAGGATTCTGACTCACCAGAGTGTATCATATCACACTGAGTATGTCAGCCCTTTTTTCAGATAACTTTTTGAGCTCCTGCTTCTTTTTGCCGAGAAATGTAGTTGAAGGGAGGAAAGAAAAGGTCAATCACTCAGGAACCTGATGTCTCCCAGGTTGAGATTTGCATTGAAATGATCAAGGTGCTTTAGACTGATCTTTTCTTCATTACAAAATTTTAGACGTTACACTTTTCTGGTCCATTTTTCCATAACTGCAAGAGCCAGAAACTTACCTATCTTTTTTTGAAGGTCTAAAATTCTCATAGTTGTAAATAACTGTATGAAGCTGTTTTTTGAGGAAAACATCAGCAGCCTGAAGGCTGGTAATAGAATCAGAAAGAACAGGAACCCTGGATTCAACACTGATGTGGGTATGTTTATTTCGTTGTGACCCATGATGTTTTGGCAAAAGCTGAAACTTCTACTCGGAAGGCAACTAGAAGTAATGGCTGCTGTATGCAAAAAGGTTTTTTTGCAAAAAGCTTTTCCTATATCCTATCTCTGAAAATAAGTTATTTTTATTCTGTACGACTGTGATTAATTTTAAATATTGTAGTAATTTAGATTATTTGGAAAGCCGTGAGCCAGAAATTTGAAATAAACCAATAGAAATGGGTTTGCAGTAACATGGTTTGAGGTATGTTTGACCTCTGAAGTAAATATACGCTGTGCTGTATGGGCTGTGAATTTGCAAGAGAGAACAAGAAACATATGCAAGAAAAATCTTTCCCTCTGGTTGCTGGAAGACAACTTTGGGAGTGACTTGGTCAAAATTAGCTTATAGGAAAAATAAATTTTATTTAAGAGGGAACTTTCTGAGTTAGTGACATGTGTTGGCAAACATTTAATCCCTATTACTTCTACATTGGAGAACAATTCTTCTAGGATATGCTATTTTAGGAAGCCCCACGAGGTGGCACTCTTTGCATTACTGAATCGGTCCCCAAAAGCCATCTGTTTTTGAAGTCTTTTTTTCATGGAACTGAGTTTATAAATAATAATGATACAATCCTACACCAAAATAGGATACGCATATGCACATGTATATGAATTACATAATTAAAGATGCATTATAGCTAAAAATATCTGTTAAAAGAATGCCATCATGTCAAAGTCAAAAGTCAGAACAGCCAGAGTTAAGATTTTCCGTGCAGTCTGCATCCCACTTCCTTGGGCAGATGATAACAGTCTTGAGTGATGTGGTCACATAGATTTTTCCACAGGATTCTTGCTGTCTTAGGCATAGATCAGAAGTCTAAATTAGGCCCCTGTAAAAATAAACAGCCTGTTTGATTTCCATCTTCTTATTGCTTGTTTGGAACAATGTACACCGGCTAAGTTTTGCTCTAAATATAGAGATGGTTTTTTTTAATTTTATTTTATTTTATATGTGTGTGTTTTGTGCTACTCATCAATATATTTATGCAGAACTAAGAAGCTTCAACTGGATTTATTCCCTTGTCTCTTATGTAAAGCAGGTGGGCATCTTTTTCCCATTTTACACGTCTGGAAACAAGGCACCAGAATAAAGTTGGATGTATTTGGTACAAATTTGGCATGATTTTTCAGTCATTTCCATAAGAAAGATTCATCATGTCTGTAAATTAGATCCTGTAAATTAGTTCAACCCTGCTACCTGGAGAATTAGGTCTAGACAATTAATGACCACCGATGAAAAATTTGTAATGAAGTGTCTGACTTGGCTTCCTGTAGGACATCTAGGGCAGAAACAGAATCCAATTCCTCTGGACAGCATTTTGCTGTTTAATCACAAAACCTTCATCCCACATTCCAATCCACCATAGAACATTAGTGATAAATGAGATGCAAATATAGAAGATATATTCCACCCTACAACATTGTGCAAACACCCAAATACCACTTGAACTAAAGAGCTTCTGATTGCTGTAGTAGTTACAATACTCTCTATAGAGCACAGAGGAGGATTTGGAGGTGAACTCTGCAGGTGGGGCTGATAGCTAATGAGATCAGAAAATATTGGATTTCATTCCATGATTTCCTAGGATATTGCATCTCTTTTCTGAATCTGCTCTTGTATTGCCATGTCCTTTTCAGCCTTTCACTGAAATACCCTTAACTTGCTAGACTACTGCTTCTAGCACTATCTCTTTTTTCCTAAGCTAGTCCCCGTTTTCTCAATTTTCACCTCTTCTAAGATTCTGGTCTCAGCTCTTCTAACCTCCTGCACTCCATTTTTAATGCCCCCTATATTTGGGTTCCCTGTCCCAGGATACTCCAGATTTGCCAGTCCTGGCTTTTCTCTCCTTCAGACCACCACTACTTCTTTATGTTTATCTAACTACAGAAAAACAAAGAAGAAGAGTTTTCTTGCTCTTGGTCCTTGACATCTCTTAGTTTTATTTTTCTAATTTTTTGAAGTAAAGAAGCAGGATTTTTTTAAAGAGACTCTTCTAATTTTATTTTTAAGAAAGTACACTTCTGGTTTGGAAAAAATCATAACTTTTCATTTGATAACATTGAAGCTGAAACAGCCTCTAAAAATCACAGTAGTGGAAGTGAGAAAGTTTGTCTAAACAAACTTCTGAATATACTGTTTCAGTTTCTGGGAACTGGCCTTTTTCAAACTAAAATAATATTATTTCTGGTAAAGAACTGGTCCAGGATTTAAAACATTTGCATTGGTCTTGACACTTGAATTTCTAAAAAGTCTGAAGTATGTGACTGTCTTCAGCTGCTTCTAAGTTTGATCAGCTGTATCTGCTTGGATTGAAGCTTTCAGTGATATTTGTATAATTGCCTTTAAATTTAGATCCACTGCTGAAATTGGGAATAAGTGAAAAAATAAATTGGTTTGTGTAACATTTTTTCTTCATATTTGAAGTAGATACTTGAAAACGTGTTTTCTAATAACTGTGCTTGTTTGCTGTCTTTGCATAAAACTTGATCACATTTGGACAAAGTATAAACTGAAAAATTTTATGATCATGAGGGGTGATTTAGGAATATTTCAGTGTTTCCAGAGGCTCTAAGCAAGAAAATGACCATGAGTTTATTTAATCTTACTATTTATACACCACAAGCCAGAATGTATCATCCAAGTATCTTTTCAAATGTGTCCAGTTTTCCTTCTATCCCCAGGAGGAAAAAAAAAAGATTATGTTGGCATTAGTAAGAAAAGTCTTGAAAGGGCAATTTTTTAAATTTTTTTTTCTTTTTTAAATGCCAAGGAACTCTCTAGGTAAGAAATGCTAGGAGATTTCAGGGGAGAGCACAGAATATGAGAAAGCTTTTAAGTCCCAGTTGATATAACCTATGGGAATTAAGAGGAATTTGTCCTGGATTTGGTTATGGTGACTAGTGTAATTCCCAGGTATAATCCCAATGACTCAGAAATATCTCTTGCAGTGATGAGTTGAGAGTTGTGTATATATACTTACTGACCAGGAGATGCAATCAAGTAGGATACTGTTGCTAAATTTTGTCTGTCTGCAGCGCACTGGAAGCGTTTATGCAGGTCTTTATCCAGTTGTCAAATTTCACAAAACTAGTGTGAATTTAAATACTTTCATCCCCTCTGTTTTTTAAACCTGGTGAATTTGATCAGCATGTTAAAATATTATTAGAGGCAGAGGGACCAACAAGTAGTGTGGCTAAGAGCTTTGGAAAACCTTCTAAAAGGAAGGACTTTGCCTGCGCAGTGATTACGATGGTGGACAAAACAGACTTGACTTGGGGAAAATTAATTTAATTTACTGCCACTTAAAGATAAGAGTTGGATGGTGAGAAACGAAGACAAAAAGTAAAACACTGCCCCCCACCCTCTCTCTTATTGGGTTGACTCCTTCATTCCTGACTCTCCTACCTGCCCCCACCCAGTGGAGCACAGGGTGGGGAATGGTAGCTGTGGTCAGTCTGTAACAGCTCCTCTCTGATTCTCCTTCCTCCTCATACTTGCGTGTGTGACTAAATAATTAAAACTACCTTGATGAAGAACTGTGGAGGACTACAGTAATGTTGGCTGAAAGGGTTTGCATTCTGATGTTGCCCGAGTTGTCTTTATAGCATACTGCTGTATTTCTTATGTCTGTGTTGGTTCTGTGTCTGCACTGGTGCCTAGACACTTATTGAAATATTTAAATACGATGTAAGAGTAGTCCGGCATATTTGGTATACTGAATAGCTTGGATATTTTAATTGAGAGGTTAAAATCTGTAATGATGTGGCAAATAGCCCAAGTGGTAGGCTGGCAATTTAAATATACAGAGGGCTTTTTGCCTGTTGCATTCTTGTGTGTTTCCCTCCTGCTGTGCTCTTAAGAGAAATGACATCAAGCCAAGCACCAGGAGAGAACAGAAAAAAATATTAGCAATTTTGTGATTGTTCTCACTTCTTTCACTGCTCTATTTGTATTAATCTATGTTTATCAAATATTTTCAGGAAACGCACCTGTAAGAGTTGTTTCAGAAGTGTATGAGTTGTTTGGCAGATGAACTGTTGGACCAAATACATCACTGTAGGCTTTAAGGGAGAGACCTGGTCTTCTTCACAAACAAGGAAGTCTGTGAAGCACAGGGGAAAATAGGGAGCTTACTGCCCATGGCCCTTTAGACCTGTCTTTTCTGCCAGATTTTGGCAACTGCTAGACTAAAGTGTCTCCACCAAGATTCTATACATTCTTATGCAAGCTATCAACAGTGATCAGATAGGATTAAGTTAATACTGCTATTGGTCTGGAAACTAGAGTGTGAAGAGCTCCATATAACCTATTACTTATCCCTGATGTTCCTCCTTGTTTCTGTCCTTCAGGCACAATGGTTGGTGATCACACTCGCCTGGAGTTCCACAACATTGAGACGGGGATCATGACAGAGAAGCGGTACATCTCTGTTATCCCCTCCAGTTTCATCGGCCATCTCCAGAGCCTCATGTTCAATGGGATGCTCTACATTGACCTGTGCAAGAATGGTGACATTGACTATTGCGAGCTGAAGGCACGCTTTGGTCTCCGCAACATTATAGCTGACCCTGTGACGTTCAAGACTAAGAGCAGCTACCTGAGCTTGGCCACCTTGCAGGCTTATACATCCATGCACCTCTTCTTTCAGTTCAAGACCACCTCAGCTGATGGTTTCATCCTCTTTAACAGTGGTGATGGCAATGACTTTATTGCAGTTGAACTAGTCAAGGGGTAAGTGTCCTTGTTATATTTTACCAGCTTATTTAGAGATAAACTTACTTATAGATAAGCTTAAAATGCTTGTATAAAGAGAATTCACCTCATACTGAAATTGTTTGCTGAGGTGTAAGACAAAGCACTTAAACATAAACACTAAGCTTAAGACTCTGGATTTTATCACTGTCTTCCTCCTGTGGCTGAGGCAAAAACACTTTTATAGTGTGCAGCATTAATATTTTAAGTTGTTTGGATGTAGCTAGACTAATGTTTTGTCCTGTTAACCTCGCAGCTTAGCACAGAGGAGGAAGAAATGTGCTGAGGGCTCTGTATCTCTCTTCTCTGCCCACTTCCCTTTTTTTTTTTTCCTGTAATACTCATTTTTCTGCCAGCTTCACTGGAGGGGAAAAAAAAGGATATGGGCTGCTGAATCTGTAATTCTGCTGGTGATATTTGAGGAAAAGCAAACTCAGCTTGCTTTTGAGCTGCTATATTCCTTTTAAAAGACCAATAGCTTATTTAAAAAAAAATCCTTTGTTAGATGAACAAATTTTGATCTCTTATGATTTAGTCATGGTAGATACGTTTTCCAAAAATACAGTTTAGTAGTCCTGTTTATTTCAATTCAATCTGTTTCAGTTTTAACTTTGCACATACTGCTTAAGTGGGACATTGAGTAACATAAAAAGCACCGATCACGAGCTCCTGGTGCTCTGTTGAAAGTTGAGTTTTGTTGTCTTTTTTTTTCCTTTAAATAGAATACTTCTATCCTCAGGTGAATTTCTGTGTTTGAACTATATAAATAATTCAGGGTAGCACTCCTGTGACTTCAGTCTTTGTTAGGGTCTTTATTTTTTGCCAAAAGCATTGCTAATTGTTTTCTAGCTGTTTGAATAAGCCTAATGTACTAATTTACTAAAATATTTCAAGTGAGTTTCCTGATAAACTTCTTACGAGAGTTATGAAGAACTCAGAATGAACGTGAGGAATATATTCCCCAAATAAGCATATCTAACATTGCTCCCCGGTACGTTTATTGATATTGCCAATTTAAAAAAATAATTATATTCTCAGGCAGCATTTGTATGGATCTGCAAGAACTTTGTGGAAAAAGAGGAATGCTTTATGGTTAGGATCTGATTGTTTCAAATGTTATAATCTCAAAATACTAATCCTTACACTTTGGTGGAAAGGAAACAACTACATCTTTTCAAAGCAATGGCTAATATTTTGGCTTACTAGAGCTTTCTAACCCAGAGATACTTCCCTTTGTGACTTTTTTAAGTATCAGCTCTGGCTAGAATAAGAGTCAGTAGCACTGGAATTCTTACACAATTTTAACTAGCTCTTGGTATGTTTACAGGTATATACACTATGTGTTTGACCTTGGAAATGGACCTAATGTTATCAAAGGCAACAGTGATCGTCCTCTTAATGACAACCAATGGCACAATGTCGTCATTACCAGAGATAACAGTAACACACACAGCCTAAAGGTGGACACCAAGGTGGTCACTCAGGTTATCAACGGTGCCAAAAATCTGGATCTTAAAGGTAAACTCTACAAGACTGGCAGTTCCCCCCTTTATTCTTGCACTAGTAAACAAGAGAAAACTTAAAATAACCATGCATTACAGAACAGTAAATCTGGACTTTGCTAATTTTGACTGTCAGATTCATTTTTCTCTTTCTTGTTTGGCACTTCCTGTAGGAGCACAGTTTGTCATATTTTGCTTTTTCGGAAGTTAATTGTCATCTTACATTTTTTCCTAGTTAGGTTGCAATTACAACTGGGATTATTGGTGGGGTTTTGCAGGGCTTTTTTGTTTGGTTGTTTGTTTGGGGTTTTTTTGTTTGTTTGTTTTGTTTTGGGCTTCGCTTTGGGTTTTTTTGTGGTAAAGAAGGCAGAAACAACTTCTTGCACAATATCTCACTCTGCTTTTAAATTTTTCTGAACCTCTGTTCACTTTGTTATATTCACATTTGGTGACAAGGAAAGTCACTCTAGAAGGTGTGTAACTTGCTCCTTCTTGTATGTTTACCCCTCTCTCCTCTAGGTGATCTCTACATTGCTGGCCTAGCTCAAGGCATGTATAGCAACCTCCCAAAGCTTGTGGCCTCACGGGATGGATTTCAGGGCTGTCTGGCATCTGTGGACTTGAATGGGCGTTTGCCTGATCTTATCAACGATGCTCTGCACCGCAGTGGACAGATTGAGCGTGGATGTGAAGGTATAACTGATTCCAGAGAAGTTTCACTCTCAAGCACTCAATTCTTACTTCATTGCTGCCCTCTGTGCATCTCTTCCACCTTACTATTAATTTCATTAAGTTGCTTTCATTGCAGTATCCTTCATTACAACTTATGTTTTCCAAATGCAGCTATTTGCTACAAGTTTTCGTCCTAAAAGAGTGGTTTATAAACATTACAGTACTCTTAAAATACTTTGAAAGATGTTTTGAGCATTCAATTCATTTTTGCTTCAGAGCACCCTTTTTTGGGATTCACAGAAGTCAGTATTTCAAAGAACAAGTGGAGACAGGGGAAATGGAAATGGAAGGTAGAAGACTGGACTAAAAGAGGAGTTCATTTTTGAGGAAGTGGACCTCCAGTGAAACCAGTGGGCCCATTGCCTCTTCTGCCTAGAAAACATTTCTCTTCTGTATTTTCTCTTTTCCAGCCAGAATAGAACCAAATGTGATGAGTTACTTTTAGAAGCATGTAAATGGTAGTGATATCCTGAAACTTCTTTAAGAATTTACTATTCCTGCTAAGCTCTCATTAATTAAAAAAATATTGACATCAGCAGCACTGACTCAGTAAAATGCATATGGTTTCAATTCCCAAAGCACTTGGGGTACTTAGCATCAAAACCCCCAAGGTTTTGCTCTCTGGGTTAAATGACAATCACTACTGTGTCTAGTTCCACTCAATACCAGTCTGCTGTGTTGGCTACCAGTCACTAGAAGAAGATAATTTTTTTCTGTAACATTGGTATGCATGTTTGCTAAGAAAAGACTTATGTCCTGAATTGATCGTTCAAAAATTTCATAAAGTTAAATTACTCCTTGGTTGTCTTTCACCTACTGTGTCAAAATTACAGGTTATATCATGATGAAGTCATACCATTTGTCAAGACTGTCACTTCTTAGGATTAAAACTGTCATCTTAGTGATATCTTTGAGTATTCATGAAACACCAAATTGGCAGTCCTATTAGACCTGTTCCCTTGCTTGTGTCTGTGTTCTGGTTGGCTGGGAACTCTTGTGCCCCAGCCCTCCTTCCACACTCACGCAGTGATACTCTCGTTTGTGGGAATTTTGTGTCCTCTCACAGGAGCTCACTCAGTGTCAACTTCCACTTCACAGCACTGGCAAGTGCCACACAGCTGGAGGATGGGTTTTTTCCATCTTTCTCTCTTTTTTCTTAATAGTGTCTGTTAACCACACTGTTCTGTGTGGAAATGAGCACATTGTAGCAGAACTGGTGTCTTTGTCTGTTTGTGGCAGACCCAACTTGTCAAAAGAAGTGCACCTTTTCTGTATTATTTACAAGGAAAAAAAAGGAATTTTAGGTTTTAGAAAATGTCAATTCTATTTATCCTTGGTGCACTGAAAGGTCTTCTTTAATATTAGTGATTTGTTGATAATTCCTCTGTTTAAAATTATATTAATCCATTGGCTATTTAGCTATCATGATTTCTACTAATTCTCTGTCTTCAGAGGACCTCTCATTAGACTAACCTGTTGTTCTGTGTATGGCTCAAGAGCAGAGTCTTCTTTCCCAGAAGACTCTTCACCATTATTAGAGCTATGGTGTTTCCTTCTCATGTACCCAGTGTAATTCTTTGATTTAGTGTCCTGTTACTGAGGTTGCATAAGGTCACTGCTACTCTCAAAATGCACAATGTGGCACTTTGTCTGTGTGCCAGTATGGTACCAGCACAGCTGCTGCCTGAGCATGGAGATTGGTTCACTCTTCGAAATATCTGAAATGTGATTTCTCCTTCTCTTCTAAAGCCCTTCAAACAGGATTCAAGATTTGAAAGAGATCTAAAGAAATGGATGGTAGGGTCAGTGATTGCCTTTGTTCTGCCTTTGCAAGAACTTGATCTTCCAAAGCAGTGCCCATGCTGTCTTCCCAAATGGTCCCTGCTCAGTACCAAAGGAACTGCTGAAGAGGAATGCATTCTTTTTGCCAACATGTTTAGGATTAGTAAAAAACCTGAGAATTTGGTCACCAGAAAGCTGTTTCATTTGTTGGTTTTGTTTGTTTGTTTGTTTTTTAATCATAGCAACCCATAAGACTTCATCTCAGATCTTGGCTGCTGCCTGCTGGTGCCTATTCTTACAGCTGCCAGTGAAAGTCACACCTATCTCGCCTTTCTCTAAGGAAAGAAAAACACAAAGCACGTTCAGTCCTTCTTTGTGTCTCCCTAGTTTGCTTCCATCTCACATGATCTTGGATCCAATCTTAACAATGTTTTCAAGGGCTGAAGTCCCAAGCAGTCCTTGCTGCCTCATAGTGTTTAAATACGTTTTTAATAAACAATTGTAGGCTTTTTGTGTGGATAGTTGTGCTGTGTGTTGATTTGCCAGACATGTCCTTGTTTAATCATGAAGGGGGGTGGGATCACATCAATGATGAGAACATGCATGCTTAAAGAAATGTCATTCCATCCCCACATAGGAATCTTGCCTTTCAAATGTGGTATGAGAGAGATTTCTGCTAATGCTTGTCTCTTGTTGCGGCTTTGCTTTCAGAAGCAGAAGAGATTACAAGGTGGCAGCTGTTTTCTCAGAAACTGTCAGTTTGATCTCAGGACAGAATCAAAGGATGTGTAGAGAAACGAAGCCTTGAGAATAGTGGAATGTGAAATGTAGGTCAGGAGACAGAGCTGTACCACCTAAGACACACCAGCATCCTGTTCGTGTTTGTTATCTCTGTTCATGTATTTCAGTACCCTTCTCCATACCACTAAATTCACAATTTTTAATAGGAAAATTATATTCCTTATTGTCTTGGTGCTACTGCTACCTCATTTTATTCAATTTGAGCAAGCCATTGAATTTCCTTGGCCACATTGTTTTTCTCATATGCTTAAGCATAATTCAGCCTCGCTGAGCAACAAAGCACAAACCTGTCGTGTTATACAATTATCTGTGTTCCAGGGATAAGTAAGGCAGTGCTTCTACTTGAGTGGGAAGGACTTTCAGTAAATTATATTTATATTTTAATGATATATTTATAGGAGATCTTTTTCCTTGGGATCTGAAGAACCCCAAAGCATTCTTAGTCATACACATACAAGTCCTTCTTGAAATGCAGACATTCTTGAGACTGAAATTTGCTGGCATTTAATGGTATATAGTAGTGTTAAAAAAAAAGGCAGTTCAAGACCTAAGGAAAAAATTACTTTATCTCTGATGGCCTATCGGTTCTATTCTTATGATTTCTTTAAATTATCTATACTGGGATTTGTTTAGGCTAGTACAACTAAGTAACCTCTTCATCCTGTTTGTCAGGTGACATATCAGCTTCCTTTTGCATCATGGTTTATTTTCATTGCTCTTTTGCAATTGCAAAAAAAGCATTTCTGATTCCTTAGGAGCAACAGGCAGCTCTTCACAGATCTTGAAGGTCTGGTCAGATCTGTATTTCGCTGCTTGTGTTTTCCTGGAAGGTATTTTGTGAAGCCAGAAACCACCTTGCTTCCTGGTGTGTTCTGGTGCGCTACACACAACTGTGAGGACAACATGATGCCGATATATTTGTTCATTTTTACAGAGTATCTTGAGCTCTTGTGCTAACTGCAGCTATCATCATCATCTTTTGTGTGACAAGAGGGCCCTTCCACCTACCACCACCCGAAAAAAGGGGTTGGCAAGAGGGCCTGAAAGAAAAGCTGCCAAAGGTAGGGAAGTGGTTGAGACTTAAGTGATTCTTCTGTCAGTGTTGGATCAGGGTACTGAAAACTCTGAAGAGACAAAATCACTTCTCAGAAAGGACTTGAAGTGGGGGGGCCTCTTCTAGTGGAAGCTTGCATGGAAGTGTGCCTCCTACTTTGGGCCTTGCTGTCCCCACCCATACAATTCATCTGCAAGGTATTGTTCTATTTGTGATGAAAGTATGAAATTCAACTTTGTGTTTTCAGACCACTTTGAAACAACGGATGGAGGCTCCTAGAGATTACCAAAGCATTAGAAACTGAGGAAAAGAAGTCTTCTATCAGGACCTAGTTTTCTCCAGTCTCCATCTCAACAGCCAATGGGGGGTGGTTGGAAATTTTTATACTCCTGAGTTTGCATGATACAGACTATTTCTACGTCAGACGTACACAGTTTGAGAGAAAAGATGTCTGCATTATGGTGCACGTGCCAGAGTTGATATATGGAAGAAGTTGTTCCAGGTGGCATCCTTTCCCTTCTTGAAAGAAAATAATTTAAACTTCAGATAATCTCTTTACTGGGCTTTTAAAATCAATTCTTTTTTGCTGAACTCTTCATTTCTGGTCTTAGTACTAGATGAATGGATCAGTTTATTCCATCCACAAAAGTCTAGACTGAGTGACTCACAGCATTTTCCTCACTGGTCCTGGAAGAAGTTAAGCAGATGGCCAACCTTTTGAGGAATTTAAAGAGGATGCCCCCAGTATTAATGAGTACTTCCTGCATTTCAGGTGTTTTTTCACCTCTTTATTAATTTGCCATATGTTCTCCCATGTTTTCCTTCCCTTTATTTGGACATCCTTATGTTGCTTACCATGGGCATTAGAGCTATCTGTAATGTAACTGCACATGCCAAATTTGTTCACTCCATCGTGCCCCCAACCAACCAAACCTAACAGAAGTGCTTAAAAAACATTTTATTTCTTTTACAAGGTGGTTTTTTATGTGCATTAGAGATGCTGCTTCTTCCTCACCTGTTCCACTGATAACAGCTTCTCACAGAGGAGAGTGATTATTATTAAACAGGCTGACACTGTTCCAGATGTTTTGGGACTTTTTTTGTCCTGACTTAATCTTCTTTCCAGATCCTGGAGTAAAATCATAATCTTTTGCAACTTGCCATGAACTAGTTTAGTTAACCTTTGGAATTCACTGGTGCATGAAAAGCATGAATGACACATACAGGCTGGATAATCAGAAACACATTTTGCATACTAAGCAGTATGTGGAAAACAGAAAATATAATCTCATGCTTAAAATCTCACAGCAGGATAATGTCAGAA